AWYMAWYCYWAACCCATAGACAGAGGCATCRTGTTTTTTGCATGTGTATGCAGTGGTTATCCAGTCTAGTCAATGGGCTAGGGAAGTTTGCTACAAGGTATATGGACTAACCTTTAGAGGATAACAAGTCATCTTTACTTTCAAGAATGGCAAAGCTGATCAAGATGAAATTGCTGGATCTGCTCATACGTGCTCATCACCACTTATTTTAACTGAAACTTTCTGGTCATTTTTCAAGATGTTTGAATTTTTCTAKTAGAACAAAATGAGTATAATTCATAATCAACCTAAACCTGATATTACAATATATCAATTTTATCATGTAATAACAATGCAGCAGTGCTACAGCCCCTTAGAAGTGAAGCAAGGAATATTCTACATTTCTTCAAACTAAGTTTACAAAATCATAATTCTGACCAAACAGAATAATAATCAGTGTAATGTATCTCAAAATTGTGCTGCTTGGTAATGGTGTTATTTATTTTGATAATTATAGCTGTCAGACAAATGCTKAAACGTTATTTTTGAATATAAATACCCACCAGTTCTAAAATTTGATCAGCCAGCAATTCCTRAAATGAGTGTTGTGCCCCAGGATACTTCCCAGGAGTGGAAGTAATTTTGCAGCTTCCATTTAGTTGYTGTCTGCATTGCTTAAACAAGTATGACTTTGGGAGTCCATCAACAACCATAGAAAGCTTGTGTATAAACTCATCACCAACACCAAACTTGTCAAGCAAGAAGAGAATACTCTCCACAGTGGCTTTATCATTCTCACTTAATGTAGAATAGTGTCTGCSTGGCTTCGTAGGTGCTTCAGGTGTATTGTTTTCCAGAGTCCCATTATCAGCAGGAGGAGTTTCTTGATCAGATGGAGTGATCACCTCAGTATTGCTACTTGTACTGTTAGATGGAGTATGATCATGACCAGTTGGTGTCTGAGGCGTTGGTGTCTGAGGAGTTGGTGTCTGAGGAGTTGGTGTCTGAGGCGTTGGTGTCTGAGGAGTTGGTGTCTGAGGCGTTGGTGTCTGAGGAGTTGGTGTCTGAGGAGTTGGTGTCTGAGGAGTTGGTGTCTGAGGAGGACTGTCTGTGGCAAAATTGACGGTATATGTTTTGGGACCACCTTTGCTCCTAAGCTTCAAACAGTCAAGCTCGAGCCCAAACAATTCAACAAAATATAAGGCTTTCTGTGCTCTTGTTTTGAGTTCTTTCAGCTTTCTATTCTGGCCTTGAGGGGTCTTTAGATCTGGAATACTTTTCCCTCTCACTTTATTGACCTCATCTCTTTCAAGCTGCCTTATATATTTCCTCATCRACTCATTTTCATTTTTCACATTACTCCATGTCTCACTTTCCTTCAAATAGCTATCTATTTCTTGAAAGAGACATTCTTTTTCCTTTTCGATATTTACATATTTCCCTTTCCATTCTTYAACTTCATTGCTTGCTTTCTCCAATTCCAATTCTAAGTCCTTTATTTGCTTTTCCCACTCTTCTACAGTTATGTCAGTTTTTAAAACAGCAATTTTTGTATTCGCTTCTGAAAAYTCTTTCCTTTTTCGTACAGAACCCTTTCTATTCAGCTTTTTTCTCTTTGTTTCTGCTTCAATACATATTCTGCTCAAGCGCATCTCAAGACGACGAGTCTCACGGTTTAATTTAAAAGCATCGCCGGGTATTATCGCATTTAGGAGATCTGTATACAGTATTTCAKTGCCACATCCTACCTGGTMCCGTCTCCATTCGGCAAGAACCTCGGTTTTTRTCTCAAGCCAGAAAGCTACATCATTTCCATTTTGTCTCTGAATTTCTTCATAAGCAAGCTGCTTTCTAGGACACCCAGAAAGCGAAATTAAAGGATTAGACATGTATTGAGCAATAAAAATTAAATAGAGACAGAATATCCAGCAATGGAATTCATTCGAGAATGATTTTAAAAATACCCGCGAATATTCCCGCGCTTAACTCGAGTAAATATCGATTGTTTTAATAGAATCCAGTCTATCTCGTCCACAATAATACAAACAAAGAACGTCTGACAAATACTATTCAAGATGGAGGAATAATAGTGCAAGAAACGGAGGGAAACTTCCAATTTTTGCTACGCTATCGGCTCGTTAGCGAGAGTCAGCCATATACAAGACGCTGATGTTCACTACAAATCTTATGATGACAAAACCGCACCGATTTTACATTGTTTATCGTTAAATTTGGCTTACTTTACTGGGGCAATGGTTGGAGTTTCTAATTCTATAGAAGGTAAGTTGCAACGTTAAAGGGAACTGCCTTAAAAAGTGGTTTGTTTTCACTGTATTTTTCGTCAATGTAATACTATCTCTACAAAATGGCAGCGTCGGAGAAGCGTGATTTTCGCTCTAAGATCAAACTCGAAAACCAAAAAACGACATCCATAATCTGTCAAAATGGCGTATGCGAAGTCGAAAATGGAGAGTATTGATGCCACCCTTGCGCCGAATGTGTTACAGTCAGTCAATCAATTAAGAAACAAGGGTGCGAGTTCGTGGCTCACAGTGGCACCTCTTGCAGATCAGGGTATGACTTTGAATAAACAGGAATTCCGAGACTCCAACAACAATACCACAAGAATACCACAACAAAGTACGCTGGGACCTTTATTATTCCTTCTTTATATTAATGACATTGTTTACTCCTCCGACAAACTTTCCTTTAGAATTTTTGCCGACGATACCAATTTGTTTGTATCTTCTAAAGACAAGCAAGAGCTTGAATCAATTATGAACTACGGAGCCCGTTAAGGGCCACTCATAAACGCGCAAAAATCCCGAGTTATTAGTGTGAAAATCCCGACTTACGAAAATCCCGACTTACAAAAATCCCG